GTAGAAATAACCAGTAATAACCAGAAATACGATATAAATCGTAGAGTAAATTGCCAACAGAAATGTTCAAATTTACGCTACTTTCTATTTTATTACGTCTGTATTCCCACGTAAAACCTATTCGATTGTACTAACATCGGAAATAATCGTATATTCTTCTGGAATAGTACCATTAAAAGATAGATAAAGAGTAATCACCATTGAAAGACTCTGCTAATTCCACGTCGCTCTCGTTAACAGGGCCCACGCCGTAAGAAATAATATTTAATTTACACAAATCGTTCGCCGTGTACGTATCCAAAATATTTAAAATTGCTTCAACACTGCCGGCCACGTCGCCTTTTATAATGCAACTATATTCTAATTGTTCTTCCTTCTCGTTTTTCACGGACGTTCTCTTCAATGTTTTATACTTAGGATGAAACCAGCCGAGTATCCACTTCTGTTGCAATAGACGTTTATATTCCTGTCATTATGAACAGAGTATAATAAGTGATCTTTAAAAATACTGTGCGTCTCGGAAAGCTTTGTTAGATTTCATAAAATAAATTTTATCTATATACATGCTTCTTTCAAATGTGACACGAGTATCCAAAAGTTGCTCGAGCTGCCATAGTTTCTAATTGAAGATCCTAAAGCATATCCGATATTGTATTAATTTTTAAAACTTTTATGTCACATAGCGTACAAGCAGGTATAAAGAGAAGAACAATGCACTACACTATTTAATTAAATGTCGATTATTGTATACTTTGATTATATTACCAAGAGATGTTCCTGATATTTTTTATCAGCAGCTTCGTGATGCTGCTTTGCGATAGTATTGTTGTGCAGAGCTTCTCTGTATTTTATAGCAGAATTCAACTCCTTCTCACTTCTCGCTTCTAATATTTCAGCTCCGACCGGAGGTAATACTTTCCAGCCAATTATTTGTACAGCTTCCGACGGTTTGGCTTGCGCAACTGGACGACCGAATTCATTGAACATGCTCCGTACCTTAGCCCACGCTAATCCTGATACTTTTAGTGCAAATTAAATCAATTAAAATTAACGTGACGGATTACAAAAATAAATCTTACATAAAAGATAATACAATTGTTTTTACCTAACAAGGAACCGTTCTTTAAAGTTCCACGTTTAATTAAAGTTGTTACTAATTTTCCACGACCCGCGTGATTAGCACATTCGATAGCAACGCCCTCTACTAAACCAACAGGATCGCCCTTTAACCCCATTAATTCAGCTTGCAAGACTATAGCTTCCGTCAAAATATCTAAATTAGTCCCCTTTAAAGCTGATACGTTAACGCATTGTACATCTCCGCCAAGATCTTCGACTACAATGCCTAGTTCTTGGAGCATCTGTTGTGTTCGTTTCTAAAGTGAAAATGGTTAATATAACATTTGCGGATCTAATTTCTTATTTTCAATATACATATCAAATGTGATTACAATGTTGGCGTTAGGCTTATCAATTTTATTGATAGCTACGATAATTGGAACGTTCGCATCTTTTGCCATTTCTATGCTTTGCAACGTTTGTTCCTTCACTCCATCATCGGCTGCTACTACTAATACAACAATATCTGTTACATGCGCACCTCTGTATCTCATAGCGGTGAAGGCGGCATGTCCAGGAGTATCTAAAAATGTTACTTGTTCTCCGGACTTCAGTGTTACTGAAACATGTAACATTTGATCGTTAATACTCGTATCTTTAATTTCACGTTTATACCGTACTTACCATTAAAAGCACCTATATGTTGTGTAATTCTGCCAAATTCTGTATCAACGACCGATGTATTACGTAAGGAATCCAGTAAAGTAGTTTTACCATGGTCAACGTGTCCCATGACTGTTACGACGGGATGTCGTTTTACTAATACAGATTTATCGGCTGGAGGACTACACAGAATTTAGTAACACGATAAAAAAGATAATTTTAATAACACGAAGGCGTTAATATTACATTACCTTCTAACAATGTCCTTATATTTTATTTCTTCTATAACTTTTACGTTCGGCTCTGGAACATTTACAGTTTTACAACCCAACTTTTTCACAATGTTGCATACCAGACCAAAGTTTACTATCGCAGTATTGGGATTATTGTATGTCCCGACATTCATCATATTAAGAATATTCATTATCTGATTAACGTCTCGATTGGCAGACGTTGCCAGTTGTTTTATCGTTATATTGTTCCATACTTTTACCACAGGAACAGTTTTCTTTTCTTTTGGATGCACATAAGTTTCTGTATTTCCATGTTTAAGCATATCATTCACTTTCTAAAAGTTGGATATATATCAAATTCTTTGTTCCACGGGCGAATAAATGACAAGCATAGAAATGTGTTAATATTATACCATCTGCTCCTTGGTCATCCTAATTTTATAATAATTTGGTGTACTATGATAACATTGGTGCTGAATATACGATTCGTGGCATAATTTTATCAAACGTCTCAATGAGCTATAAAGGTTACATAAAATTTATAATCGATTATTATATGATCACAATGTCACCTGTAAATTATTTCGAGAAAATACTTGCTCCGGCGAGAAACACGACACGGTCATGTTCATTCAACTTGAGAGTTAATATTTTAAATGAAAACTTCGGCAATCATTTATATATACCTAGGTTATGTTTATTAAAGAATACGTTTGTTATTCGTGTTAACAATTAAACTTACATAAACCGAGCATATGAGCTTGTCGTAGAAACTGTCATATTTGCTCCATTTGTGTGGTATGTATAAACAATAGCACACTACAGTTCGTTACAAGTTCTCCCAACTCTGTATTATAGGTCCAATCTAGCGTACATGTGCATGGTTGTGCACGGTGCACGATTCAACTGCGCATGCAACAAATCCAACTTTGCGCAACTTTTCGAAAAAAGAAATTCTAGGAGAACCGGACAAGCAGACTTGTGCGACACGTGCGCGCAGTTCACATAAATCATTTATTTGTAAGTAATAATTTGTTAAAAATTGATGCTATCGTAACATTAATTAAAAAGTAACGTATCCGTTTTCCTTTAAATTATATTATGGAAGATATGCAATACAAAATAAATCATTGAAATCCCGTATTAATTGCCAACAATTTCTGGATTCGTTAACTCGAAGTTCTGAAAGATCATATTATCCTTGGTTATTTCTGTGAGAAAATAATTTCCTTCGAACGTTAATTCCACCAAATTTTCCAATAAGAATAAATGTTGCATTTCATCGCCATTCTATAACGAAACGTTAGTCCAATAAACACGTTACACGATGTTTATATATATGCATATCTTCGAACGAAAGCTTACCGTTAAAGAGTTATTTGCAGCATAAAGTTTTTCCAGATTTTGCAGTCGTTTCGTGAATTTCAACGATCTAATCTTATTGTTCTCAAATGATAGAAATTTTAGATTATTGTTCTCAGTAAAATCTTCTAGAGCGAACGTTACAATTTCATTGTGATCCAGAATCAAAGACTCTAAACTTGTGCAATGACATATACCTGTAAAATTTATAATGAAAATATGTTTGACGGATTGTAAAAAATTTGCGTAAAAATTTCAATACACGTTCGTAAATGAAATATTACCATTAATACTTTGCAGATAATTGTTATTTAAAAATAGATGTTTTATTACTGGCAATCGTTCGTTTATGTTCATTATTGATTTAATAGAATTATGATCTAACAATAACGTGCACAATTTTGGATATACGCATTGATTTTTTCCATGATCGCTACTATCGAATGTTTCGAGGCAATTGTAGCTTAAGCATAACGTGTGTAAATATTGAAATGAATGAAGACCGCAGAAAAATGTTATCTGATTTTTACTTAAATCCAAACTTTCTAATTGTGGTAACAAATCGGCGGAGAGATCAACCTAGAATTATTTAACATTTAAGTAAGTCGTAATGCTTAACTTTATGATATAGCGAACTACGTACCTTCGATAAAGAACAATTTGTTATACTTAGCTGTGTAATAGTTGTTAACTGATCTGTTTTATATATTGTATGCAAGACGTAGTTGTCTAATTTCCTTTCAAAAATGTATCTCGCTTCGGTTATGTCAGAATGCTTTATAGATTCTCCAGATACATACTACCAACAAAATCGTATCATTTAGAAAATATTTGAATAATATAATTTAAAGAACATCGCGAAAATGATTTTACCTACTTCGATATTATTTAAATGACATATAATGAACTTTTTATACAATGTTTCTTTATGTATTGGATTATTGGAAAGATCTATGACACGCAGCATATGCCAAGTTTTAACATTATCTATTTGTGATAGGTTTCTTATTTTATTATTGCTGCAATAGAATTCTTGTAAAGTAAAGAATGAACCCATCGGTTCTAAGCTTGTAATCAAATTGTTTGTCAAATCGAGATATTTTAATGATGGAAAATTTTCTTGAGAAAACTCGCTCAAGATTGAAATGAAATTACTTCCAAGATTTAATTTAGTCAAATGTTTCAAAGGCATTTTAGTATAAAACATAGTCAGTGAACAACACACGGCGCACAATTCCTGTAGTTTTATAGCCTTTTCCAACATATTCGACACCTTGAATGAAAGTTGTGATACATGAATAGACCTCGCAGATCTCACATATTTTCTTGTTAGCAACGAATCATTGCTTTCTTCACTTTTCGTTATATTATCTTCAAAATAAGCTAATTTGTTATGTTGTCTCAGCCTGCACATATTAATTGCACACGGATAATAATTTTGAGGCGAATGAATATCGGTACGTGCAGTATTATTAATAAATTGTAGGTTTGGTACATATGTGTACAGAACATATTCTACAAGTTCTGGGTCAACATCTTCAAAAGGATTGTTGCATATGATTAATTTAAGCATGTTAGGTGTATAAGTTGTAAAAATGTCAGTATTTGCAAGACAATGTAATATGCAGTTCCAAGATACATTTAGTTCTTCCAGTTCACATAGAACTTCCTTGATATGTATTGATTGTATATTATTAAAACTAATATTCAATATTTTCACATTCTTCATGAAGTTTGCATTGGGAAATTCTTGAAGACAATTGAAAGAAATGTCACATATTCTTATGTTGGGCATATCTAAATCCATGCTTATGGAATTTATACTTTGTCCTGAAAGGCATATTTCTACGAGATTGTATGCGTTTAAATTTTCACCGGAGTTAATACATTTTATAATGTTGGAGTTGGATAAACAAATACGCATAGTGTTGCCTGGTGTACATGGGGTAACACACCTTTTATATTTCTTTTCCTACAAATTTGAAAAATTTGTGTTATAGATAATATTATTAGTAAAATAAAAAATGTTATTCATAAAAAGCTGATTACATTTGTCAATTCGTGTAATGTATATTCATACTCGATTACATATATAGGATTCTTAACGTTTGCACTTGTCAAGACAAATTTTTGGCACGTTTCATTTGCATTGTTCCAATAACTCCCATGTTTTATATGTAGGCAATCATTAGCATTATATGTTCTGTAGAAAAACGTGTCATGTAAAATTAGAAGTAATGTAACGACGATCTGTATTATTACTTCTCACGATAATTTAAATTAGGTGTTTGTATAAGTACGCAAACACGTCGTCTTTCAACATTATTATATAAATTCAGTTTATCGCCATTTTTTCTTGACATTGATATTTTACTTAGCCATTCAGAATCTGCAACTGCCAAACAATTTGTCACTGTTAATTCTTCCTGTAAATTGGAAAGGTCCTTAAATGAATGTCGAAGTTGTTAATACATATATTTCTCAAACATGCACACAAAAGTACATTGTTAAGTAAACTAATTTTGAAGAAGTTAAAAGGCCACGCTTGAATATCTGTTACTCCGGGAGAAGTTAAAATTTTCAAAATCATGTTGCACTCATTTGACTGCATATTATTAATCAATAGATCAACTTTCTTGTTATTTACTTCAGTGACCTTGTATAATATCAGACCAGTGATGCCTACATCACTGCAAGTAAGATAAATTATGTAATTTTTATTTCTATGTTCGTGAGCGAGATTAAGGGTCAAAAAGCCTTGATCGGTAAATTGTCAATGTTAGCGAGGCAAAAATGCGAAGGTGCTTTCATCCCTCTTCGATATGTTTTAACGAAGTCACAGCGGTTCAAACATTGACAATTTTTCGATTAAAATGTTTCGATCCTTTGATTTTGTTCATGAGTGTGTTAAATAATTTCTTCTTAACATAGCATATTTACATACTTTTTCATGACTGTACATAGCGATTCCTTTAAAAATTGTTTACATAATTGAGTAACTGTATTTTTAGGAGTTGCACGATGTTCAATGAAATTTATATTTCCACAGTAGTTTATATTATATACTAATTGCTGTTGTAAAATCTGACAAGTAAACAATAATTACGATAAATATGCAATATTTTACATAAACTATTGTGATAACAGCTTTTGTACATATAAATTATTAAGCAGTTCTTTTACTTTGGATTGTATTATTGTCATTTTTTTCTTTCCTATAAATCTTTGTTTACTTAACTCCATTTGTAATGTTACATTGAGCGATTCATCATGGGTTTTCTCCTTTACGCAATTCTGTTCATGCTATGTGAAAGATGTACCATAATTAACGAAAACAATGCTTATCGTATACAGAAATTGTCGAATATACTCTTAATATTTATAATTTTATGGTATACCTCTATTACTTTAATCGCGTACAATCGATTCTTAAAATGAAGCATCGCTTTCTTATATTCTTTGTGATTGTCCTCCAGTAGTTTCAAGTATTCGCTTAACTGCTTATGAAACAACACATTATGGTGTGTAATTTGTTTTCTAAAAGTAAAAACTATTATTTTGATAAAAAGAAAACAAATATTATTATAGACACGTGACAATAATAATCGAATAGAGAGACTTGAAAAATTGTACAATCCACTGTCGTTCTTTTTCATGTATAGTGTAATGGTCTAATTTCTTAATATTTGGAAGGTAATTTACAACGTATGCTCGATAATTGCAAAGAGCTACTATCGGACACTCTCCGTATAACGGATCAGCAAATACTAAGGATTTTAATTTCTGCAGATGGGACAAATTTCTTATATCCTATAGTAATTAAAGGAAAAGACATTATTTTATAATTGGAATGAAAATGTAAATGTAACTGGAATGAACATAAATGGAATGTAAATTTAATTACTACTAAATACCTTTATAACGCATAATCGATTTCCTGCGAAATTCAAGCAATGCAGCTGCAACTTCTTTAAGAAACATTTACTAATTCTTTTTAATTTGTTGTTAGCTAAGTTCAGGTCTTCCAACCTAGATAAGTTAGTTAGACCCTATATAAACAAAAGGTAATAGTATTACAGAAAGGTGTACTAAGACTTTTTGCTACTTTTTTTCTTTAAATTAAACTAATAAAAACATAATATACCTGAAGATTGTCTATATTGTTTCCCGACAAGTATAAAGTTGTCAAATATGTACAAGCATCTAGATTCGATATACAAGATACTTCATTCGAATACAAATACAGCTTTTTCAAAGGACAATTTCTTCTGAAAGGTGGTACATCCTAAATCAAATAAAATGTTATATCGTGGAGACTGATAGATTGCGATGAAGTTTTTGATAATACTTTGAGTCCACAATCGACAATCCATAATTCCTGTATGTGAGCCAATTCTGAAATAGCAGAGAATGATCCAATATCGCGTTGACAAATTATAACTAACGTACGAACATTTCGTCTTGAAAATAATATGTTTTCCAGAGAAGTAATCGAAGAATTGAATAAGTACAATTCACGTTTACTATTACTTTTTGTCCCTGTAATGGAAATTATTTAATGAAGATAATGCATATCTTGTTGAATTTAGTTCATCATTACCTCTGTTATCTAAGAGATTATCCATTGTCAGATTTGCGGTTAGCTTTCTTAACAGCAACTGTTTCAAGTTTTATTCTCTGTTTGTTTTTCTATAGTTTCAATACTTTTCTGAATGAAACATCGAACATCGTGCACTCAGAGTTCTAAAGAAAAAAAAAAGAAACTTGTGATACGGTAACTCGAAATCTATAAATTAGTTACAAAAAAGTTATTGCTGCATTTTTTATTCAATAGCTTTTTTATCGAGTAGTCATTACACAATCCTTGTAAATGTTCCAAGGGTAATACAGTCTGAAAGGTTGCGATTCTTCGCAAAGAATTGAAAATATAAAATATGTTGAATAAAATGTGTTGTTTTGATAAAATCAATTTCGAAACTTTTAACTATTCGTGTGTTTCGATTATAAGTTTGTGTAACGTTATTATAGAAAAGAAATACAGTAATTTCTCCGGGATTTGACGAACTTCGGTATTCTGGGATTCGCGCTATGACATTGTCACGGCCCTCTAATTCATTGATTTTCTCTCTAAGCCGATGTTCTACGAAGTCAGTGAACACGTGTGCCACGACTTCTTTGACTCGAATTCCATAATACAATGAGATAACTTTTTTAAATTTTAACATTTTAACACTGATCTTTTATTTTACATATCGCTGACAGTGCGCGCGATATAGTTTGGATAGCTATTTCCGATTAAAATATAATCGAACACGATATAATTTCGATTATGTACAGTTATTTATTCAATATTTAATATGAAATTCCATATAAGTAAAAACTACACATATATAACATTAAAATCTTCAACGACATAGTGTATAATTAGGTAAGTGGAAATCCTTGGTAATCCTTGGAATTGCCGTGGTCAAAGGTGATAGTTCTCCGCTATCTTCTAACAATTCATCTAAAAAAGAAAAATTAATTTGTAAATAATTCATATTTTCAAATTGGTTGAAAAATGTTTACTATTATATGAATAGGTATGTACTTACCTATATGGTTGTTGCTCCCTCTTCATGATAAATGATATGATAGTCCGTATGATATATTGTACGTGAGGTGGTGCAGTAGGAATAATTATTCTTAATGCCTGGATGACGGCGCTTTCGTCCTTGGTGTGAACATTTTCCAAACTTATACGTTCTTCCTCCAACATTTTTTTGAAATTGTCTGCAAATTCATCAGGTATATCCTGATGCCCGTACACATGTTTGCCAAGCATATGCCGTGACGCATTTTAAATTTTAATAACCAATCACGACTAGCTTCAAATCGCGAACATGATGGCAAATTGTCTTTCTGTTTCCTTGCCTTCTTTAATATGAGATTGTTTGTGTTACGGGCTCTCCACGTGTCCTTCTTTCTACGATCCACGACAATAATTCAGCGTCTATTTCGTCGTACTGTGGCGTAGTTATTCTTCGTCGAAGTTCGGATGTACTTCTGTTTGCAAGCCCAGTGATTCTTGATGCACCCCTTATCATACGAAGGACCGTTCTCAGTCCAGCGATACCGTTCCTTCGAGTTTGTCGAGTCGGCAGTCCTGCTCTTCGCAGATTCCTCAATACATACAAGCGTTGTTGTCTGTCCGATGTCCTTCTTGGCGCCGTAATTCTCACTATTTATATATCCACTGTTTATCTTCACCGATAGTAGACACACTCGACAGTAGACGCGAATAATACTCGTAAGAAACTATAAAACGATGTGTTTCGACGAGAATTAGAACTGCGGAATTTCAATTGTACGTGACTGTTCGCAACGACAGTTGAAACCCAAATTCGTACTTTTCCTTTTTGGGCCGGCTTTTATAGAAATTTGGTGGCCGAAGCGAGCACCAATGAACGATTAGCATTTTTCGCTATGGTAAAATAACTCGGCACTGAGTTTTGTCGGGGGAGAGGGGATGGGCCATTGCCCGTGACAATGTCATAGCGCAAATCCCAGAATACCGAGGTTGGTCAAATCCCGGAGAAATTACTGTATTCCTTTTCTATAATAACGTTATACAAACTTATAATCGAAACACACGAATAGTTAAAATTTTCGAAATTGATTTTATCAAAGCAACACATTTTATTCAACATATTTTGTATTTTCAATTCTTTGCGAAGGATCGCAACCTTTCAGATTGTATTACCCTTGGTCCATATGTGGTCTAAGATATTGTCAATGGGGTGAGAACCTATGTATAGTATACAGTGTACAAGGATGTAGCGAGATTAATTGCACAAGTAAAAATATGATGCTACATGTTATTTAAAATAAAATGCGTAGAATATTTGTATGCAACATGTATAAGCATTTTTCTAATAGAATTTTAGTTATAAAATAAAAAGCAAATGTGAATTTATTATAAATCGAGATCGTAACCATAAGTACTGGACAGTGAATCGTATTCTAATATACGTGGTCCAACGAATGGTCCTATTAGAGAGAGGGAGAGAGAGAGAGAGAG